AAACCATATCAAGGATAGCTGAATTATTAAATGGATGGCAGTAGGAAGAAAGTCACAGACTTGTAAACCATATCAAGGATAGCTGAATTATTATATGGAGGGCAGTAGGAAGAAAGTCACAGACTTGTAAACCACATCAAGGATAGCTGAATTATTAAATGGATGGCAGTAGGAAGAAAGTCACAGACTTGTAAACCACATCAAGGATAGCTGACTGATTATATGGGGTATTTTTCACATGCTCTTTAATCCTGAACTCAAACAACAAATTGTGGAGCCCATGCAGCCATAGTTATAACTTGGACATCCAAATTTATCGATGTTGTAAGAATGCTGCATTTTCAGAACACTGTCTTTAAATTTCAAGCAATTATTTAAATGAAATATTGACTTTAAAAAAATTCCAAGCTGAATTTTAGGATAAATGTTACAATTCAGTACAGTTTTTCTGTATATGAAAAAATAAACTATCTATTTAGTTTTGAAACATTTGTTAACTTTAGAGGTATATAAATCTTCTACATACTTCTTAATAGTATTATCATTTAAAGAATTAGGAAAACTATTTCTTTGTAAGAATTTGTTTATATTTACATCCTATTCATGGTATCCAGGAAAATAGCTAAGTATTTTTTAAGTCTGATATATTAAAATGTGTAGTAGGGGTTGGAAATTATCAAAGGGAAAAAATATATATATATATACCAATAAATGTTGATTTGTGATAATATTTACTTTCAGACATTTCCCTAAATTAACTATTGATAGAATGGATAAAATTTGTTCTTTGACAGTAAATTTAATACTAAATTATTGGCTATTTAAATAGTTTTTAAGTTCATATGCATCAGCTGTATTTTTAGAAATAACAAAGGTTTCATCTTCTTTAATATTGTTCAGAACACTTGTCTAACTAAATTTTCCCATGATAACTTAAAAACAGATTAATTAAACGTAGTGTAACCCTTCACTCCATAGCAACTCAGTCTAGTTGTTCTTAATGACAACCAATGAAAATATAATTAGATTCTTTAGTGACAAATTTCCAATAGTTGAATAAAATCTGGTTTCATAATGCTCTAGAAGCATCTAAAGTTTGTATAATTATATTACTACTTAATTAGTATCCAAACTACAATACAAACTGGTTCATTAAAAACTAACTTATAAACATCTTTGAAAAGCTCAAACTACTTGTTACATTAAACTCATTTTTTTATGGCTGGAAAAGCTGCTGATTCACGAGTAAAAAGTACCTGTATGTAATATAATTTGTTTTGTGCAGTTAAGGTGAATCAACTTGTCATTGTAAACCCCTTCAGGTATTAACATTTCTTTCTTTAACTTTTTGTAAATATCTTTACGTTAAAGCTGTATTATCAGATTTCAGTTTCCTAAGTTTAGTATCACTAGTCAGAATAATTAAATCTTTATCTGAGTAATCCTATTTAATGAGATACTAAATGTTAAATATTACACTATAACACCCGATGAGGCCACTTTATCTGTACACTAAATGTTAAACATAACATTATAACATCTGATGAAGCCACTTTATCTGTACACTAAATGTTAAACA